TGCTGGATTGCTGCCAAGTCTTGTCTGTGCTGGATTGCTGCCAAGGACCTGTCTGTCTGTTAATAAATTCCGTAAAGTATCTTTGGCTCGGCGTGCTTTGGTGTGGGACAAGGGGGGGGGGTCAGAACAGGGCTCTATGTGCCACCTGTGGCACGCATGCCATAGGTTTGTCACCACGGATATACAGTATGTCGTGAATCTGAAACAATGTTAAGTTACGTACCTATGATGTCAACAATATGTAGCTTCAGTTTTTGTTGAAAGATGTCTAGCATCGAGGGCAGAGTTCCTTGAGATGATGCCACTTTTAGATTTTGTCTGACTTCATTTGAAATGGAGAGCCACAGCTTTCCATATTCATCCGTGCTCATCTTCATCGGTCTGCAAACAGGGTTGTTGATAAGAAATGAAATAAAGGAGAAAAGTGTGCAAAAAGAGGAAGAAAAATTGTCCAACACAACACAATAGCAGAGTTGGAAGGGACCTTAGAGGTCTTCTAGTCCAACCCCCTGCTTAGGCAGGAAATAAATTATTTTATACAGTTACCTAATAAAATCCAGCAGCTCCAAAGAGAAAGAGAATCTGAGCTGGACGTCCAATTCTAGCAGATAACTGATGCATCCAAAGATTTTTCCTAAAGAGCAAGGCTTCTCCATCTCTACACGCATCTGGAAACTTTCTATAGTTTTACCTTCTATCACAGCAAGTTGGCAGCCAAAATTTTCTACCATCTTCAATATAAAAGAAGAATGGGGGGAGAAAAAAACAAAGGACAGATTAAAGATGCTTGTTTTGGATCCAGCACAATAGCAGAACCGAGCCAAAAGGATGCTAAAACGGTTACCTTAAAATGTTCGGAGTGTTGCAATTCCAGATTGACGTCTTTCAGAATGGAAGGGCTTTTATTGGCGAGAAATAAAAAAATCAGAAGGCGGTCCTCTTTCCAGACTTTAGAAAAATATACAAGCAGGGATTCATTGCCGCAAAGTTCTGTAGTGTCTGAATGAGGATGGCGGGCTGCTTCATCTGGGAGACGAGGCGTCGGTGAACGTTGGTTCTGAACCAGAGCGGGAGAACTTGGGGAAGGATGAAAAATGTCCGCGCGATCATGGGTGAGTAAAGGAGACGGCGAAAATTGGTAATCCGGGGTCTTTTCATTCAACCCACCTTCCGGAAACGAATGGGAGCGATCGAGCATCGCCTTGGATTCGGGCACTTCAGGAGAATGTAGGGAAGCTTTCCTGAACTTGAGATGTCCGTTGTTTACAAAAAGGTCCTTCTTTCCGGTTAACCCTTCCTGAAATAGGGAAGCGGCTGGGGTGCTTTCCATAGGCGGTGAACTCTCATTAGGGAGGGCTTCATTCGCTTTAGATTTCTGGGTAAACCTCTGGGCTGCGGGGTCGGCTTTCCCCATCTTAAAAAGACAGGTAAAAAGGGTTAAGAGTTTGTTGCAAAAAGTCAAATCCAGAAACCACACAGAAATAACTGATTCGGAAGGAAGGGAGGGAGGGAGGGAGGGAGGGAGGGAGGGAGGAAGGAAGGGCAATTTAGCCAGCCTACCAGATTAGTGTTCCTTTGTGATCCTAGCCCGGAAGGAAGGAAGGAAGGAAGGAAGGGAGGGAGGGAGGGAGGGAGGGAGGGAGGGAGGG